GAGGATGACTTTGAGATGTTCTATGAAGTCTGGGAAAAGTTTGATCCAGATGCAACCCAATTCATAGAATTTGCTAAACTCTCTGATTTTGCAGCCTCGCTGGATCCTCCTCTGCTAATACCAAAACCAAACAAAGTTCAGCTTATCGCAATGGACCTGCCCATGGTGAGTGGTGATAGAATTCACTGCCTTGACATTTTATTTGCTTTCACCAAACGTGTCTTGGGTGAAAGTGATGAAATGGATGCCCTCCGTATTCAAATGGAAGATCGGTTTATGGCTGCCAACCCTTCTAAAGCCTCCTATGAACCAATTACTACCACATTAAAACGAAAACAAGAGGAAGTATCTGCTGTCATTATTCAGCGAGCCTTTAGGCACTACCTCTTAAAGCAAAAAGTTAAAAAAGTTTCCTGCATGTTTAATAAAGATAGAATTAAAGAAGGCAATGACACACTTATCAAAGAAGATATGATCATTGATAAGCTAAATGAGAATTCTACTCCTGAAAAAAACGATATGACCCCCTCCACCACATCTCCACCTTCCTATGATAGTGTTACAAAGCCCGACAAAGATAAGTATGAGAAAGACAAATCAGAAAAAGAAGATAAAGGTAAAGATGTCAGGGACTATAAAAAATGAGCAAAATGAATGATTCCTTTGTGACAAATTGTTTACAGCTTGAGAAAGTAAAGTATTATTTCAAAAGGACTCCTATAGGAGGTTTATGCCAAACTGACTGTTTTTGCACACTTAGACAGACATACACACACATAAAAATATCTATAAATATATATGTGTGTGTATATATATGTATACACACACACACAAATGTTAGCTATATACTTAAGGTCAGTGCCTATTAACAAGATAATGACCCCTTGTCAATTCAAATGCTGCTCTGTAAAACAGGATGGCACTTTTGACAGGCGGCTCCTGTTTGCATTACCAGCTGACACTGCTGAAGAGGAAAGAAAAATGGCTATCCAGACTGTAGGGACCAGTAAAAGAGGTGCAAACCTAGAATTGATGTGTGTTGATCATAAAACACTCAGAAACAATAATTGTATCCACTGTTTGCATTCCAACTGCCACATGTTTGCCATATTTTTACAAAAATCCATGTTGGTGAAGTTGTCATTTTTTTAATTCACAGGTTGTTTACTATTATATGTGACTATTTTTGTAAATGGGTTTTATGTTCTAGGGGTGGGGAGGGGGATTCCAGGGTCAAGGGGGATATGAGGACCAGCTGTCCTATCTGATTCTCTTGTAATGTATAGGCAGAAGTGATTTGCATGAAGGCATGCTGCACTTATAGACCACGCATGAAAACAAATAAGACTTCTTTGCACAAGAGTTTTAAAGACTTCTGTGTTTCAGGATGGCTCCAGATTCCAAGGTGCTCAATAATAGTATACATCTTTATGTCTCATCCTGATAATTCTTATGTGCCTGTAAGTCTCATAAAATCAATAGTTATTCAACTCAGATGATTTTCCTCCCCTCCACCTCCTCCTCCTCCTCCAAACAATTCCATTATGAAGGTGACATGAACATTCACTACAATGCACGTTCACGCATATGTACTTGATTGTAATCCCCACTGAGTTCAGCGGGCCATACTTTACAGTAAGAGCACCTAAGATGGTGCTTTAATTGTAAAGTTGGGTGGAGAGATGGGAAGAATCTTCTTTAAAATCCTGGAGCATCCCTTACATTAATCTGGAACACTGAGCTGTCCAAAAAGGGGACGGGGGAAGTCCGACATCTGTAAGTTAGTTTTTACTTTCTCCTGCAGTATTGTTTAGCCATCTTCTCTCTCAGCAAGGTTGACATTGTATGTGTCAATGAGATAAAGCTGTCTATGTAAATAGTTACTTTAACCCTGTGGTGCATGTTTGAGCAAAGGAATAATGACCTGTGCACAATATTTATTGCATCAAATATGTACCACAATAAGTGTAGTTCGCAAACCTTGAACAGGAAACTATGATGTATTCTGTACCATTATAAGTAGGTTGGAGGCTATCACTGATGCATGTTGTTTATCTTGCCTTCGCTACTGTATTTTCCTTGGATTTGTTCAGAAATCTAATATGGGAAGCCATATGTTGGTGGTAAAAGTGAAACAAAATTGTTCAATCAGACATCATTCCTCATTTCATCAAGCAATAGTTTGCAGCTAGTGGGGGTGGGGGTGGGGGAGGGAAGCTTCTTGTTCTGCCCTGACTTCTTTTATTCTTCTCTTGAACTTTATGTGAGTATTATACAGTGTGTAGCCAGCTGTACACATCATATTGCAAACAGCATAATCTGTTCAGAGTACCTGGTTAACAATTTTCTAAGACAAAAATATAAATAGTGTACAAATTTCATTCAGTTTTATTTTTCAGCATTTTGTACATAAATGACAAAACAAAACTGATCTTCAGGTCGATGTCACAGGTGGTCCTTTTGTTCATAGCACTTTTTAATTGAAGAATTTCACAAAGTGGAAAAATACTGAAAGGAGGGAATGGGGAGAATGTTAGGTTTCTGGGTTGCTTTTTTAATTAGTACTGTATTTTTGCACACATCTTAATGTGATTTTTTCCAGACTGAGTCCAAAATGCACTTGCTTCCAAATAGCTATAACTTGTAATTGAAATGTGGTGGGAAAGATTTGTTTGAAATTCTAGCACTGCCTGCATCAGCAGTTAGTCTTATTATTCAACATCCTTAATCTTTTCCAGTGTTTGTTTACATAGACTATTATTATTCTTATTGATTCATGCTGCACTAGAAGTCTTTTAAATATTATATGCGATTCCACAATTATTATTTTTTTTCCCAACAAAATTAAGTAGCTAACTTGTATATCTGATCCCATCAGGACATTTTTTGTATTCCATCCACAAAGAAAAATTAAATGTTAATTCCTCCTTTTACTGAAACTGTTGACTTTGTGTCTTGGTGAACTGCATGCAGGGAAAATGCTATTACCATAAAGAACGGTAAGCCACACTTACAGTTGAGCCAAAAGAATAAAGACTTCTTTTTTTATTTTATTTTACTTGATGATTCTGTCATTTTTTGTGTGGCTTTCTGGCCTTAAGTATGTGCTCATAAACTTAATAAAGATAAAAACAAATTGATGTTTCAATTGTAAATACATTTCCGGGGGCATGTAGCATATTTGTCACTGGAATGATCCAGAACATGAATCCCTTTCTCAGCCATAAAGCAAAGAATAACTTACTATATTGTCATCAGCTCCAAAACAGTACCTCTGGGAACAGGTTAATCTCATTTTCATGAATCAGATCCTCACGTTTCTGAGTTCTCTCCAGGTTGGATCATACACATAGGTCACATTCTAATGTTTCATCACTTGACTTGATGACTTTGAATGGGATTCATGAATTGATTCAATTGGGTTGTATTGTGTCTGCAGTGGTATGAAAGTCCTAGCTGCAGAATTTATTTATCTATAGTACTACTGTATGTTATTGAGCACTTCTGCTGAAAGGACACCCAAATCATAAGCTGAATAAAGAAGAACACAATTCCTGCCAGCAGCAGACTAAAAGGAAAAAATGGTGAGGAAGGAAGAGCAAAATAAGGATATCACGTTGCAATTCTCAAAGTTACAACATTCATAACAACCAGCAATGGATGAAAAAAATTCAGAAAGAGGACCAGCCAAAATAATTTCTGCTTACCTTCCAGTACAGCCAATAGAATAGCCCTGCTGACTTAACTCTTCCACTGCTAAAGTCAGCTGGAAGATCTTTGAGGCATTGTAGCCCAACTGGGCAAAAAAGGAAGAACTTCAACATGCCGTAACAAACTGATAAGAATGCATATGAAAAGGAACCCAAAGATTCAAAATTGTATGTGTGTGTGTGTGCGTGTACGTGTATGCTTTTATACTCTAAGTACTTTTATTATTGTTCTATAGAAATAACTGGGCTAAAAGCCTTTCACTTAACAATAGTTGCGATTTCTTCTAATAACATTCATATTATCCCAGCTACTATCTTGATTAATTTAACATTAATTAGTTAAAAAGGAGTCTTGCCAGGCTAACAATCTCTCATTTTTTTTATTGGGTATCTTCCTTAATAGATTCTGAAACTGCTATAGACATGATAGATTCTAACTTCAACAAATCATTTCTTAACTACCCCATAGCATACTGATTAGAAAGGTAGTTAGTATATGCCAGATGACATGATAATTAAGAGGATAATTGCTTGAAAGTCATACATGAATGCTCATCAGTAGATGAAAAAGGTCTCAAGACATGGTCCAACAAGTATCAGTCCTGGGTCCTCTACCCATCATTAGTTATTTGGATAAAGAGATGGAGGGAATGTTTAGCAAGTCTGCAGTTGATACAAAAGTGGATGGGATAAACAGAAACAAAATGATCTTGAAAGGTTAGAAAAACAGTAATCTAATTTAATGGAGACTGTGGAATGCACAATATAGGAACAGTTAATGTGGCTGCAAAAAAGGCATCAGGTTTGCATCTGCTGTTTAATATGTATAGGTTTCAAATACCATAATTTAAATAAAAATGCTTAATGTTGCACATTCTCTTAACCACTCTAATATAGGGACTCCTATATTATCTAAGCACCCATAAAAACAGCAGCCCCCTCAAGGCACTCTTAACTCCTCATGACTTCATAGATAGGTCCATGTGATTTTCCCTGCAACAATACACTCTGGGGTTCCCCCCATTCCCAGTTCTAGCCTATAGCTCAGAATCTCACCCAAGTACTAACCAGGTGTGACCTTGCTTAGCTTCTCAGCCCAAACACGGTTGGCCAGGTGCTGCTATTTGGAGTAGACCGGTATCTGGCTACCTTTGCCCACATCTTGAGAGCTGAATTATCTGAGCAGTGGTATAAATATAGTACACTCAAATGTTAGTCCATTTTTTTGTGGCTTAGCTTCTAAATGACAGGCTTTTTGACAGACCGCCTCCTTTGACTCCTTTAACAATGTATATAGCTTACTCCAGATTTAGTTGGAATGCATTAACTGCTTCCTACCTATATGAAAATGCTGTGTGGTTATGGCAATGGAATAGCATGAGCAATAAAGGCTTTCTTCGGGCTTTATTAGTGATAGAATTTTATTTTTCTGCCATCCAATTGGAAGTAACATGTTGTTTTTCCACTAATAAAACCATGAGAGAAATGCTGCATATCTCATGAGAAAATTAACCTAAACAAATTGTCTACTGAGCTCCCTCCTGAGAAACTGCTTTACAAAAATTAGCCAAGCATTTCTGTTCTGCAAAATATAGGCAATATTAATAGCAAACCCATTGCATTGTAACACTAGGATATGATCACTGACTTCTTGCAGTTCCTATGGCAACCATAATTTTTATCAGCCAAGAATAAGGCCACATGTAATATTCTTTTCTTTGCAACAACCAAAAAAATAAGTTGGTTGATAGGAAAATTAGGAAGGAGACTGCAATTTTCTGTTAGTATTAATTACAGAAATTTGAATATTGAGCTATTTTTATTTTCCCAAACAGGTACGCTAGTACCACAGAAATAAATATTTCAAGTAAGTGTGTCAATCAGTTATTCAAACCTTCAGATAATTCAGGAATATTGTGAATGTGATATCTGAATTGAACTTCAATACTGTTGAAGCTTAACCATTTCCAAGTTTCCCTTCTGTATTTCTACAGTGCAATTCAAAAATTCAGTTCAAATACATTTACTAAAAGGATACATGTGCTCATTTG